AGAGGCCGAAAATGCCAAGGGGAAACCGGTCCACTATCTGAATCTGGCCGCTGGCCTTGATGAAAGAGGCGCAACTGCATCTCTTGGGCCCCCAACTGCATCGGGCCTGGGTACAGGCACTGGGGCCCAGGCACAGGATCAATGGAGGCCGCCCACACGCAGCACTGGCATATAGGCAAGCAGGGCGAGTGGGCAGGGATCTGGGCCATTGCGGGCAATGCCGGCAGGCTGCGCGAATGCGAGCTGCTGCGCTGCGCTAGGCTGAGGTGCGAGACAGGCAGGCACTAGGCGGTAGGGCGCTGCCTGTACACAGGGCGCTGGCGGCCATAGCCAGGCTGCCTGAGGGCGCAGGAGAGGTGAGGGTGAAGGTGGTTCTTCGGAGGTGAAGGGCGCTGTGTGGGATAACAAGGGAGAGTGTGGGTGAAGAAGGAGACGTACCTGGTGGAGATGGGAGGTTGGCATTGGTGTTGACATCATCACTCGCTGGTCGTCAAGTTGTCTGGTTGCTTTCATACTGTAATTGTAGTGTTAGGCTGTAGAGTAGGTAGGGCGCCTGGTGCCATTCAAGACAGAGAGCTACATTGGGTTATGCTGTTGGTGTTGCCCTGTTGGGCTTGGACATTGACTCACGATTCTTCTGTATCATTCTCAAATGGATGGTTACTCGGTTCCATTGTGCTATCTGCTCTTGCTTTGGACTACTTGGACTTCGGTGTGATTTTGCAATCTGGATTTCTGTGCTTCGTCCATATTCATGTTCCTTGCAGTAGGGACGGTGAGAAGCTTAAAGCCTTAGAAACGATATTGTCAAGCCTATTTAGTATTACAATCCTTCCCAACTTCAAATGTGATAGCTCAAAAAAAAGACCATGCCAGCTTTATCAAAGACAATGCCATCGAATCGCAAATGAAATGAAAGAACTTGAAAGAGAAATAGACAAGGACAGGAGAAGAAGAAGAAGAAGAAGAAGAAGGGATACACCAGCAGAGGCCAATGTCACCTCCCCTTCCCACTCTGCATCACCTTCAACCTTCTTGTCTCCCCTGACCTCTTGAGTTCAACAAACAAAAATAACAATGAAAGAATGAGTCAGGATCAATGTCGAAGTCTCCTCCTTACTGCCAGCAGCTCATGAGGTCCACCATTCATATGACCTACACCTAGTACCGCCTGATGAGAGATGGCTATGGAAGACTACTGGGGCCTTGCCCCAATGTTGAAAGGACAACGCAAAAGCTGATTTGTCCCCTACGCTACAGCCGCCATGCCTGACTCTGCCTTGGAGTCTTCTCTGAAGTGGCGCACCCCCACTGGGGTCTTCCAGGTACAGCGCCAACCAAGAAGATGAAGATGCTGTCCACCATAGCCTGGTAAGTACCTGTCACTCTCCTCCAGTCCCCTTCTCCTCCTCCTCTTACCTGGGGCTGCCTCGCCATAGCTGGGACTGGAGCACCCGGCCTCCTTTTTCCTCCCCAACGCTCTGAGAACCAGCGGTCTGCTCCGGCAGCGTGAAGCCAAACTTGCACACTGCAAAATGAGGGAGTTCTCTTCGCTCTCCCGTGTTATGTACTTTCCAGGCCGCTCGGCCTCCCAAGCATCCGGTACCTTCCTCCTTTTGGAGGGAAACATCATTGCAGGTCTGATATCATTTGCTACAGGCACTAGACTCAGGCTGCTGGACCGGTATCCCTAGACCTAAGCCTACCGGCCTGCTAAAATTCCCTCAGCCTCTAAAAGTACTAACTTTTTGTGTTCGTCTGCTAGCCTACCACTACTCAAGTACCGGCCTACTAAAATTCACTCGGCCTCTAAAAGTACTAACTTTTTGTCTTCTTCTGCTAGCCTACCACTACTGGAGTACTCTCTAAGCTTCTCAGGCCTACCCTACCTGGTACTTGAGTGTTTCCCTAACTGCAACCCTTAAAGTCACTGCCAGGGATGTGGTGACCCGGGTCGAGGATGGGCCAAATTAGGCAGAGCATGGTGCTAATACGGAACAGGCCCTGTCATAGGCCCGGTTGCAAGTCTGTCAAGCTCATACCAAACACTGGCTTGAGGTACAGACCGGTTGGGCGGCTGGTTTTCCCACCAGTTGACAAAAGGAAAGCCAGCCAACCCACCCGCCCGCTCGCCCGCCCACCCACCGACCCACCTGCCCACCATATTTGGGAAAAGTTCCCACATATTTTTGTCTTTTTCATGTTAAGTGAGTGGTGTGTCGAGGCCTTATAAGGAGCTCCCATGGTAGGCTGCTGAGAGGCGTACTTACCAAGGGCGTGTGGTCTCAGTTTCAGGTCCCGTTTGAAACAAAATCAATAAAATAACTAAAACGCTAAAAGCATGAAAACGTATCCAAGTAAAGAAAAAACGATATTCTGCGCTTGTTTTTCTCTGTCTAGAACCCCGCTGGTTGGTGGGAACGATAAGTATGGGATATGTTTGGTGTGTATTTTTCCAACCATCCTGACTCTCTAAGCTTCTCGGGCCTACCCTACCCGCTACTTGAGTGTATTCCTCACTGCAACTCTCAAAGTCACGGACACAGGCAAGTACCAGGCCCAAGGGCCACTGAAGCACACAAGCACCCTGGCAGGTCGCACACACACTCAAGCACTCGGGCACTCAGACAAACAGAAACCAACAAGCACGCACATACAGACTTAGAAATCTCAGCAGATCACACATTCCAGCGGCAAAACTCAGAAATCAGCAGAGTTCTCAGTTTGTGATTTTGCAGGACATTACATTAGAGTTTTTTCCTGGGCAAGACACCTTTTTTCTTTCTTAAACCACAAGTACATGGCCCCAGGCAACTTGAGAACCACAAGTGGCTCTCTCTGAAAAGTTTGGACACTCGGGGCAACCAGACCAAAATGACTGGTGGTGCCAGCCAAAACGAAACAAAAATGCCACACTGGTGTTTGGCAAAGCTTGGCCCGCAGGGGAAATCCGCCTCGTACGAAAAGAGCTCTTATGTATTGGTGGTTTAAGGGGGTATTAGCGTCTTTCCCCTGGGCTACAAACCTTTTTTTTAAGGAAAATTGCATTTGTACCCTGTTCAAAGATGGGAATTCCCTTTAAATTTTATGCCCTGTCCCAGTCAGTGCCCAGCTTGTATCTGTACCCGGGAAATGGCCTGTGGAAAATTTCTCCGTGCCAGGGACCGAGGTGGGCCAAGGTTGGTACCGCCAAATTGCGGTTATACTCGACTACCGAAATGCTCAAATTATGGGCATAGCCGGGAAAATTATCCGCATACCCAATTTTGATTGCCCGGTTTCTGGGAATGAGAATAATTTTGTGCTCCTGGCTCGAGGCCCTGTGGGATGGGATACAGGTATAATCCAGCGCATGGCAAAAGTAGGGTGTTCCCTTGAGTTGGACAGGGTTTGGGGATAGTTGCAAGCTGGGTGCTGGGACTGGGTATAAAGGGAATTTCCGTCTTGAAGCCACCAGTACCTGTGGCCAACATTTGGCCCTGGAAGCGCCCTGCGCACAAAAAATAACGAACGGGCACGGGCCTTCTTTTGGCTGGCGCCACCAGCAATTTTGTTCCGGTAGCCCAACCCCCAAAATCTGCGGCGAGTTAACAGCCGCGTCAGAGAAAAATGGCTGGGTGAGGTACTGATGGTTTGAATGGGCTACAGATGCAAGTTCCCCCTTCTTTTTTCAGAAAAGGGGTGTAGCCCCTAACCTTGTGTTATTCATCTCCGCGCATCAGGATTTGAACTCACGTCTGCTTACTAACAGCCCCATGTGGGCACACCTGGGCTAGTTCTGATTCCTATGAATGCAATGAATTCGGCTTTGACACGTTCCTGTGTAATACCCGGATCATCAGTCTGATAGTGCCAATGTAACCTGACAGGATGGACTCTGACACTCTGAGTTACCTTGCACGTGGTCAGCATGAAGCCACTATGGTTATGGCAGCATGGACTATAACTCTCTGAGTGTCGCATACACATTACACAAAGCAAAGTGTAGCGCAGATCCAAGGAACCGACCCCAGCAACAGACAATAGAACGCAGCGGATGACTGGAACATACGCTCTGACGCAGAAAGATTGGAATGGACAATGCTCACTCATTCATTTACCACGGAGTGAGATGGGGGGTGGCACGTCATACGCAGAAGGGGCGCTGTCCCGAGACCATCCACAGACAGAGTAGGAGGGAGATGGAGACGAAGGGGAAGAGTGGGACGAGAAGGCCAAGTCGCCAATGTCATCGATCCTGAAGTTTCCCGAAGTCCCAATCTCAGCACATTGTCCAAAGGCAGGTCTTTGCCCCAATACCAGAACAGGGCAATATCATGAATGTCACCAAGCCCAGATCCCAGATAACTCTCTCTCTCTCTCTCTCTCTCTCTCTCTCTCTCTCTCTCTCTCTCTCTCTCTCTCTCTCTCTCTCCCCCCC